TGCCTAAGAAGCATCCCATAGCAGCACTTTACTAACCACCCCAAGACAATGGAGGATCAAGTGGCAGGTCTGAGTCCAGGCCTGCTTTATGACATACAATTTTTGTGCTTTCTAAACTCTACTCAAATAATTTCCAGTTTTATAACAAATTGAAAATGATGCAATTTATAGGACTTAAAAAACATTTTGGTAGTGAGTAAAGGTTATTATTTCTGTTTTAAATACCATTTTCTATGTTTTCAAGATATAGAAAACATGGGTTAAGAAAACATGACATCATATGGTAATCTATAAAAGCTCAAATTGTATTCATGGAATCTTTTAGGTTTGTTATGCATGAGATGAGATAAACACAAACTTTTTCCTCTCTGCTTCCTTTTTTAGTGTTAGAAATGCCATCTTCAGGTATCAGTGATTACACTATTCCATTATTGGATGACATGCTTGGTATTATTGGACATAACAAACATTTAAATGCACATTTTATTTTATCTTTGAAATATAAGTCTCAACAAATACACACTTAAAATGGAATAAAGCATGCATTTGGAAAATGGACCATGAAAATGATTCCCCAGATTTCTTGCGCTAGTGTGGTGATGCTGGGCCTGTGGGAAGCACTAAGCTGAATGGCCCCCCACTGAAGAATAAATTTCTAACTGAGCTGAGAGAGTTCACAGAACATAAACATCGGGGCAGAGATGCCACAGTTATTTTCAGAGAAAGAAGATGGTTACACAGTCATCATGCTCTACTCAAACTAGTTTATATATACTTTATTGAGCAGTGTAATCAAATGGAAATATTTCACTCTCCAGTCAAAATTGTGAGCACACTTGTTTAGGAAAATAAATGGACCACAAATGCAGAACAGAAGCTAAAACGCCCTGCACCACATACTGCTGATTGTCTAGCAGCTCAGAATTGCATTTCTGACTGTGTGTTTTAATTTAAAAAGATAAACTGAACATGTGTTTCAGCTGGAACACTTGAGGAAGGTTCAGGGGACTTTTCACCCCGTGAGCATGCTCAGCTGCAGTGGGGATGTGCTGCATGGATCAGATTGCTTTTAGTTCAGCTTAATCATATTTCTAATGTATTTTGCCCACATTTATAGTCCTCTAAAACAGTTAGGGGGTGGCTTCATGGGTATCTCCCTGTAGTGAGAGCAAACTGACTTAATGAAGATCTTGGCTTTTAGCTATTATAATTTTAATATGAATCGTAATACTTTCTTAATATCCAACTTATTCAATTTAAGTTCCATTACTTATTCAGAGACCTAGGCATTAATGTTAAGAGTTAATTTGGCAATGAACTGAATAGTGTACAGAGAGAAAATTAATCAATGCTTTTCACTGGGGGATAATAAAAACAGACACACAGTGAGGCAGATAAAACTTGCTATGACCTTTCTTATCAGCATGAGCAACTCTTCTCTTAAATCAACTTGATTTTCTGGTAGGAATGTAATACAGTGTTCAAGTGATTCATGAGTGCTTTAGAACACTGTGAAAGCAATGAAATCAACTGCTTTTCCATCTGATTAGCTCTTTTTCCACTTTTAAAGGTGATGGACTTGTTACGCGCTTCTCATTGATGAGAATTTGAAAACTTAGTTGTAATACTCTATCTCTTCAGTTATTTTTTGAATCATGAGCATAATTTGTGCACATGTTAGGCAGATACTCTGCTACAGATACCCAACCCTAAAACATTTTCTTGTTGTTAGAAATTTAAGTTTCTTTTAATCCTTGAATAATGCAAACAATGCAACTTCAATTTTATTGTCTATAAAAGTTCTCTGTACAGCAAAATATTTTTTATTAGTTAAGTTCCAGAAATTTTATTTTAGATTAAATGATATAATTCACTTTGGTGACTCTGTATTTTGTCTAATGTTTTGCATGTACATTTATAGGTTAAGATTACAAGTTTGGGGGGGAAATCTGGTGAATTTAAAGTGTCTTGAGTAACTCAAATGCAGCCATCTGGGAGATATGTGCACACACACATACACACACACACATATCTACATTCAGGAGACTATATAGAACGGCATTCAGGAAGTATGTAATATATGCAATGCATTCTGGACAATGTTGATATGCATTACAGAGTGATCCAGATTTCTATCCAGGAGAGATTTATAAATTCCTCAGAAAATGCAGGAAGTGTGAAAACTCACATATGGCCTTAAGTGACACTATATCACAAGAGATATTTTGATGACTCACATTTGAGAAGACATTCTAAAAATTAAATTATAACTTAACATAATAAAAAATGTTTGAAATTTTAGCATTTGGGAAACTGAAACAAGAGGATTGAAAGTTTGTGGTCAGCCTGGGATCTCTTCCTAACAACAACAACAACAACAACAACAACAACAAAAAGTAATAGTAACAGCAAACCAAGGAAGGTTTACAGATAGAGCATGTCTGAATAGAGTTACAGCACTCAGTCACAATGTACTTCCCATGGCCTCACACCCATTTCCATTCCTCTCTGAAAGGGTATATGGTCTATGTGAGACCTCTTGCCTACTCTTTTTCCTTCCTTCCTTCCTTCCTTCCTTCCTTCCTTCCTTCCTTCCTTCCTTCCTTCCTTCCTTCTTTCCATTGTTCCTTCTTTCGTGCCTTTCTTTTTTCCTTCCTTCTTTCGTGCCTTTCTTCCCTTTTTCCTTCCTTCTGTCCTTCTTTATTCCTTCATCATTTCTTCTTGCTGTTTCAATATGCCAAACCCTATCGTAGTCTCTAAGAATCCATTGGTAACAGCCAAGGTCTACCCTTCCCTGAAGTACCAATTCTGGTGGGGAGGATAGTTAAAGGAAACAAGGGAAGAATGATCACGTAGTCAGACGCTGGGAAATGCTATAACTAAGACAAACAGGAAGGGAGCTGTGTAGGAAGGCCAGCACTGCCGAAGTCGCACGTAAGAGTCTATGGATGGCATTGACAGCCTTGGACCAGTGAATAGCACTGAGTGAAAAGCAAAGGAGACTGATATGTGAAGACAGAATCAGAAGTTCCTCTCAAAGTTTTCTCCTAAGAAGGAAATAGGAAAATGGCATGGCTATTTGAAGAAAACATCAGTACAAAGAATTTCCCTGCCTCCTCTCTCTTTTTTCCTCCCCTCCTCTCAGCCCTTATTTCTTCTCTATTCCTCTCTTATTTCTTTCTTTAGTTGTCGTAGGAGATAATAAAGAAGTTGAATCTTTTTTTTTTTTTCCGAGACAGATTTTTCTCTGCGTAGCGTCTTTCATGGAACTCACTCTGTAGACCAGGCTGGCCTCAAACTCACAGAGATCCTCCTGCCTCTGCCTCCCGAGTGCTGGGATTAAAGGCGTGTGCCACCGCCTGTCTAAGAAGCTGATTTTTTTACAGTGACAGTCCTGTAGAGAGAGCAAGAGAGAGTGTGGTGATTGAGGGATATTGTATGTGTGATTCCAGAAACAAATGTGTTTAAGGAAACCGGAGGTGTACAAGTAAAACACTTCGGGGGGGAGGGGGGGGGCTTGGAGGAAGTATGGCCACCTCTGTTCTGTCGTCAACTAAGGGGGGCAAATGTTTTGTGAGCTTTAGACATTTTACCAGGTGACAAGAATGAAACTGTCTAAGGACCTCTTTCTCTCCACATTTCAATATAATTGGAATGAATTTTGAGAGTGAGGAGCAGATGAAGGGTGCGGTATTTAAAAAATGATGTGAGTCACTGTGGGAGGAGAAGCATGAAGTTACTGGAGAATAAGATTGCTCGAGTGTACTGCATGCCATTTTGGACTTTAGTTAGGAATTTAGTGTCACAGTATCAGTTATTGCAGTGGACTACTGCACAGTGAGGGTTCCTTCCCAGATCCCGGATTAGACACAAACCACACCCAAGTCCCTGTTTTCACAGAGAGATCCTTTATTAATTAGGGAGGAAATTTAATGTGGCTGCTTTCCGACTCTGACAGAGACAAAACAGCAGCAAATGAACTTGCAGGTGTCATCCTTAGGAAGAGAAAAAGGGGAGGTCTGTGTTAGGATGGTCTAGGAAGCCATGGTAAAGGAGATTGAGGCTGAGGGAGAAGGGGAAGGGGACAAGGGAAAGGAGGAAGGGATACTTGTCCCAGAGGGACAAAGGACTGCCTCTGAAAAAAAGAAGAGACAGAAGTGACACATAGGCAAACAGCAGTTTATAAAGATGAGGTGTTTAATTTTAATTGGGCATGATAATTAGGTGACTCAAAGGAGGCTTTTGATTGCTGGACTTGGTAGTCAGCTTCAGGAGGAAGAAGTGGCCTAATAAGGAAATAGACCTTGGTGACTAGCTTTAGGAATGTAAACTAATTGTTTTCAGCAAGGCAGAGGGAATGGGAAAAGGGCAAGACCTGCCAGAGCTATGCAAATGTCTGCTCAGTGGCTCTGAGTTTGTGCTAGCATTCTCATAGATTGTTAAAGCATAGAAATAGCTGAGGAATGATGGAGTTTGTTTCTTTTCAACAACAGATACATAGGGGAGAATGTAAATAAATGGTCTAACACCACTCTAAGGTATATGTGAGCACTACCAAGTTGAATTAAAGATTCAGAGTAAAAAAAATCACCTATTTTCTGTCTATTTTAACCAATGACTCTATTATCGGACATCAAAGGTATTTATATTGTTACTTTGAAAGTCTATATATCATCACAGCTGGCCATAAAGTGCTGGTTCAATGAGAAGCTGATCTCAAAAAATGTAATAACTTTTCACTTAAGTTAGCTGAGATATTACTATATTTGGACACGTTGCTTGTTCAGAACATGTTCCGTGGTCCCATCGTCCACATTCTTGTTCAATTCTAAGGTAGCTAGATGGAGGTGTGTTTAACTTCTTGGACCTTTTTGCCCGCTCTCTGTGTTGCGTGGTAGGCGAGAGTAGTCTGGATGACCTGTGTTGCATGGTAGGCGAGGTCGTGTGCAGCAAAGCTCTGATTTTTCTCCCGTCCTTATAAAATGTGTGATTCCTTTTAGTATACGTCCGCCCTGACCTATGATGCTGTCCAAGTAATGACTGAAGCATTCCGTAACCTTCGGAAGCAGAGGATTGAAATCTCCCGGAGAGGCAACGCAGGCGATTGTTTGGCCAACCCAGCGGTGCCTTGGGGCCAAGGTGTAGAAATAGAAAGGGCCCTGAAACAGGTCAGTTTCACAGAATGAGCGCTAATGTGACTCCACACAGTCGTTAAGGTGGTTTTTTTTTTTTTTTTTTTGGTTATTTTGCCAAAACATGTAAGTCATCTTTGTTGTATTCCTTATGTTGAACATACGGCCATGTTGTTTCCTCAGAGCACAGAGGTAGGTTGAAGAGTACGCAGAAACCCTATTAAAATAACCTTCTGTTTAGGTCAGGTTGAGTAATTTTGCTAGTTTATGTCTTGGATCTAACAAATTTATAACTGTGCTCTATTTTCATTCCATCATTAGGTTCAAGTTGAAGGTCTCTCAGGAAATATAAAGTTTGACCAGAATGGAAAGAGAATAAACTACACAATTAATATCATGGAGCTCAAAACAAATGGGCCCCGGAAGGTAAAACTTGAACAATTTAAACTAGGGTCTCAGGGGGCAGATTCCATCATGAGCCTACTTCACTCCTGGGATCAGAAAGCATGTGCATGTAGACAGTGGTAAGCCACTTCTAGAAACAAATTTAGTTTTGAGATTTGCTTTATGAATCAGATCAGTTCTTTTTGGTAAGCGATAGTGATAATTAATCTAAAATAATACCTAGACACAGAAATGCTACACTTTTTTCAACTTTTATAGGAAGACTTTAATTATAATATAGAAAACAACTGCTAAAGATATGATGCCTTTAGGAGAAATAGTCATGTAAACATATGTTTAACTGTTAAACTCAAAATCGCCCCTTAAAAGAGTCTGGCTGAATTGTCACTGTTGAGGTATCTTTACATGTATACATGATTACCCCACCACCCAAGTTAGCCAGCAAATGTGAGAAGTGAGCCAGTTGCACTGGCTCATTCCTTCAATCCCTGAACTGCAGGAGCTGAAGCACGAGGATTGTGAGCTGAATGCAAGTTGAGTTCTATAGTGACTTCTAGACAAACCAGGGATGCACAGCAAGGTACTGAGAAAATTAAACAAAAATAAATAAACAAATAATAAAATAGGAAGATTCAAATTCAACCCAGTTTTAAGAATATTTTTTTAACTGTCTCAATCCCAATCAGGTTCATATTAATGGAGGTAACGTTGTTGCTGGTATTGAGAAGTCTGTTGAATGTGGGCATTACTTTGGGTGCAGACATGGGTTTGAAAAACGTCAAATGTTTTCAAAGACAGGCCATTTATCCTCATGTTTGTCAACTGTGATCTTTTTCAGATTGGGTACTGGAGTGAAGTGGATAAAATGGTTGTCACCCTAACTGAGCTCCCTTCTGGAAATGACACCTCTGGGCTTGAAAATAAAACTGTGGTTGTCACCACAATATTGGTAATTAACTACATACATTGAACTCTATTTTTACCTTTTCAAAGTATCCACTTGGAAACTTGCTGTTTAGGTTACCTTAAAGGTAGTAACTCTCCCAAGCAGCTTTTGCAATTTTTAATTCACTAATACTTGCTACTCTGTCACTGATTGCATGCTTACCTGCTGTAAGGATTACACATGCGCTAAGCTGAAGCTCTTAGAATGCTCTCATCCTCTAGAAGGCTGAACTCTATCTTGACAGCTGATACCCTGCTGTTGACACAAGTGAACAGCAGAGCAAAGTCTTGTTTGCTCTTCACATTTCTTTTCAAACCTTACCCCACTCTGGTTCATCTCCACCCTCCCATTTGGTATTATGATCTAATAATGCTGTTAGCCCCTCTTTATTCTTAGTGAAAAACAAGTATGATCTCCTTATACCCTTCATTTGAACTGAGTAGTGGCCATGTGCCTAGTTCCAAATATGTGACTATTGAGAGAGTGGGGCAAAGCTTGTCTGGTTGTAGACCATCTAGGATTTGTATTGAAAGAAAGGAAATGTGGATCACGAGAATCCAATGCTAAGCAAGGGATGAGGAGAAGGTGGAATTCACTAAGGGACATTGTTTTGAGATAAGATGATTGTGCACTGCTTTACTTAATAGTGAGGTTATAAATTGGTGGATTCATTATCCTAACAACATGAGATGAAAATATAGATACACTTCTAAGAGATTTAGATACAACATTAGTGGCACGTGGAATTCTCTTAATGAGTGTGAGTTGGACATGTGGGAATTCCCACCTTAATCATGCTATTGAAAGGAACCAGTAACTCAATTAGATTTACGTTCTGTAACACCCCAAAGTGGACAATATTAGGTTTGCTGAATCATTTCATCATGATTTCTCTCTTCTATGCTTCTAGTGAGAGAGCTTCTCTAGCTATACTTGTACCATCCTTCTAGTGTATTATGTCTCATAGATGAAGTGAGACACGAAGCTTTCAGAAATAGAATCAGTATGTTGCCATGACAATGACCATTTTCATTTTGTGGATCATTGTGTATGCAGGTTTTTTCCCTACATGAAGTTTGTACTTGGAACAGCAGTAACACAGATCTTGCCTGAACTCAGCTTCTTCGAGCTGGTGTTCATTTAAACTTGAAGAAGGGTATGGTAGACCCAAAGTTGAACATAGCAGCTGTTGAGCAAAATTTCTCTCTCTGATACTTAATAATTACAAATAAAATGAGGGAGCTATGCTAACAGCTTTTGGGTATCTTACTCTGATATGATAAACCATTTAGTGACCAATAATATAGAGATTGAAGGAGCTTGGTTGTAGAAGCACTATGCCTATACATTTTTGTTTCAAAGTCTACTGTATTATCTACGTCTAACATATACCTATGTATAACAAGTAATTATTAAGGAGTTTGACATAATAACAGTATTTAAAAAATTCAGTATGATAATCAGTGAACATATTGTCTTTTCTTTTAGGAATCACCATATGTTATGATGAAGAAAAATCATGAAATGCTTGAAGGAAATGAGCGTTATGAGGGCTACTGTGTTGACTTAGCAGCAGAAATTGCCAAACATTGTGGGTTCAAGTACAAGCTGACTATTGTTGGGGATGGCAAGTATGGGGCCAGGGATGCAGACACCAAAATTTGGAATGGTATGGTTGGAGAACTTGTGTATGGGGTAAGTATATATCTCTTTATAGGTAAAGTAATTCAGTTTGAACCACTGTTGAGAGAATGGCCACTCTTTTTTTTTTAATAACCATATCTCAGTTGTTGCCATTCCATGACACTCTAGAAAAAAAACTGTTTTATTTCTGTGATAGAATTTGAGAGGTTGAGGCAGAAGCAAGAAGTAAACTTGAAAATTAACTGAAACATGCATTCTACCTGTCTTCAAGCACACAGGTTATCCCAGTGATTCAAGGGTATATTGCAAGAAATGTGTAATGAACTTAGCCAAGTCAGATAGGTAAACTATTTGTCTGTTTTACTAGGTAAATAAATACATTACCCTTTTAATTATTCTTTAGCACCAGAGCCTTAATTACTACCATTTTATAAGTTCCATCCCTTTTCATTCCAAGTTTTAGTTATGTATCATTTCTAATCACAATTTTGGGTCCTGTTATTTTCCTTTCTTTCCTTTACAGAAAGCTGACATTGCAATTGCTCCATTAACTATCACCCTTGTGAGAGAAGAGGTGATTGACTTCTCCAAGCCCTTCATGAGTCTTGGAATCTCTATCATGATCAAGAAGCCTCAGAAGTCCAAACCAGGAGTCTTTTCCTTTCTTGATCCTTTAGCCTATGAGATCTGGATGTGCATTGTGTTTGCCTACATTGGGGTCAGTGTAGTTTTATTCCTGGTCAGCAGATTTAGCCCCTACGAGTGGCACACTGAGGAATTTGAAGATGGAAGAGAAACACAAAGTAGTGAATCAACTAATGAATTTGGGATTTTTAATAGTCTCTGGTTTTCCTTGGGTGCCTTTATGCAGCAAGGATGCGATATTTCGCCAAGGTTGGTCACTCACCTGTTTCAACTTTGTGCATTTTAGGTCTCAAGCGGATATTCATGGTGTTTATGAATTCACTATAAAGATGTCACCAGCTGCCAACCACATGTCCAAGCAACTTAAGATGCTTAGAGGACAAATTTTTACCATTGGCGTAAGCCTGTGAAATACTTGAGCAATGTTCCTTGAATGTTGATCATGTGTTTCCCTGGTGAAATTATATACACCATGGAGAGGCTATAAAATGCATAAGGTTCCTATCATTCCATGCCTGCTTGGAGGGGTACCGTGTTTTTGCTGCATATTCTCATTTTACAGTCATCTGTGTTGATCCACAGACCTGTATATGGGAAAATGGGCGATGTTAGCTATTTCCTACAGAGTCAACAGTTTGTTAGACAACACTCCATCTGAACATACTTCATCTCTTTATTTTTTCTAACATCAATTCATGAAAATGGTGTGAGAGAGAGACAATTAAACTTTTTAAACCTTAGGCTTCTGTGAAAAAGGTTGATCATACATTTTCAAGTATCTAGAAATGCATAGGGAAAACAAATGACTTGCTGCAAATGCCTGGGCCATATTAAATGTACATACTCACACACCTCTTTCACATCAGGATATGAATATCTCACGCTAAAGTGCCTAATTGTCATATATCTGTCAGAACTCATCAGTTGCTTTTGTTTATGTTACAACATGAATGAAAACTACTTGGGTCTCTTCAGACAAATAAATCCTGCTTCTGCTGGTGTAGTATCATTGACATTTAAAGCCAAGATGTTATTTGTCTTCTGGGGCAGTTCAATTTGAGCTCGAATAACCTCCTTTGATTCCAAAGATGATCTTGACTAGCCAAGGGAGTGACTTTCTTATGGTAATTCATTAATATGTTAGTTTTTGAGTACTTGGTGAATTACAAGCAATTAATTTCAAAATGAATATAAGCATCTCAAAAATGCATAGTTTTCTAAGTGCTCTACTATCTTCCACTGGCTGAGAAGAGGGAAATGCACCCTCAAGGCAGAAATTATTAAACACTTATTCTCTGATAGTCAGTAGCACCAATGGTAGTGCATTATAAAGTCACATTAAAAAGAAAAAAAACTATATAGATCTTTATAAAAGAAAAATCTTAGCTCCACATTCACAGTGAATTCTATTTAGGCCTTCCATGAATTGTAAATATTCTATGTTTGCATGACATGCATAAAGGAGTATATGGTCCAAGGTACACAGTTAAACTCTGACAACATGGAGAAGGGTCAGACTCTCATCTCTATATTTAGTTATCTGATTTAAGTTAAAGATAGGAAGATCTGTTTCCAAGAATAAGGAAGAAAAAAATAACAAAACTGAGGAGTCAGAGGACACTCTGGTCCATAAAACCCTAGATTATTGGTTTAGCATTGGTAAAACCACTGAATTGTGGTACAATAATTCTAAGTAAAAGGCAGTTGTGCTTGGCTGGAACACATTGTGTTCTGTCTTTTGGGTAATCCGAAGTATGTGTGGGTTTATAATGAAGTAGACACTGTCCTGTGTTCCCAGAGATAGACCAGGTCTGGGAGCCTTCCCACCTCCCACTCACAGCATGGCCAAACAGCTGCTTTGTTATCTAGCGTTTGCTAAGCACCAGAAAACCTTTTGCTTTTTTGGTTGGAATGGAAGGCACACTTATTCTAGAACATCTCAGGGTCCACTGCGGCATTCAAACAATTTCTCTTTTTTATTACACTTGCTTCCAAAATAGGATGTTTTGTTCTGTGCTTTAATTTCATTCTTGAGTCTCACTATAGTTCACTCTCCATAACATTAATTTCTTAGTAAGAAACAGGTTTTTAGTTAGGGTATTTCCCTTGTTATTGATTTTTTTTTATTTCAGAATATGTAGATATAATAAATATCATTAAAATGCAGTTGTTTTTCTGCTATGTTCCATATGCACTTAAAACTGAACCTGAAACAGCATTGGTAAATGTAATGATTGTTCTAAGAAAAGAATGAACTACACTACAATGTTTTAGAATGCAGCTATGGCCACTGCAAGGCAGAGCAGCAGAGTGGATTACTGTCTTAACAAAAGACTTTAAAGTGAACAGACCACTTTGCAACCCCTTTTAAGTATTTGAGAATGCATCCATCAACCCTTTCCAAGTAAAATCTGCTATGGAGCTCCATTAAGAATGTTGAAAAGACACATTGGAATTATAGTCTAGGATGATTTACTGAGTTCAGTGACTGTAACTTGCCCGAAATTACAAAAAAAAAAAAAAAGAAAGAAAAAAGAAAGAAAGAAAAAAAGAAAGAGAAAGATTGGTGTCTCTTCATTATAAAATACTTTTTCAAAACATAGAAATTAGTAAAGTAATACACCATAATGTTTATTGTTATTCTTCAGCCTGCTTTATTATATCCACAATATCTCTATATGTAAATCGTATGCCATTGAAACATCATGTGATGCATATTAAGAAGAAATCAGCGTTTCTGCCTTCACATTCTTTAGCAAATGCGATAGAAAGTAAAAAGTAAAACCTTTGTTTTTGATTGTGGCAACTTTCAATACAAATCAAAATCAAGTTTTCTCTTCTTAATAAAATTTCTCCAGAACTCTCAGAAAAATTAATCGTTGGTTTTAAAACAGTTAAAGATAAGTGATAAAAATCTAAAAATGTTTTACAGTTAATATAGTTCAAAATAGTACTGAAATATTTACTCTCAATAATGTTTTTAAGCACGAGAATAAAAGAAAAGTGATATGAACTAGTTTTTATTTTCTGACTAGAATAGAATGGCATATGAGCACAATTCTTAATCAAGTAGGAGATTGGTGCAGTGTCAAATTTATTTAACAAAAATCAACCTTAGTGTTGTAGGATTTGAGCAAGCCAGGTTCTGAGTCTGCCCTTTCAGTTCAAGGTCTGTGTCCTTTAATTATCCTGCTACCTGAACAGATAGGATACATTGGAGGATGGCTGTGTCCATATCAGGGTTTTCCAGAAGCAATGCTTATAAAATACTTGATTTAGATTCCATGTGAAAAATATTTAAACCTTCCCTTCCTATCATGTTAATTTAAATCTTTATATTTTATATTGACTTTAGCATGAAAGCTAAATTATATTCCTTCAGGTTTTCTTTTTAAGCAACTGATGGTCTAAACCTTTCAGTATTTGGAATCATCTAGTTCCTTTGTATTAAGCAAGTGGTTTATTCTCCCCAAATTATCCAAAATTTTATCTTGTCTCAGTTGTATCAAAGTCAATAGATTTGATTCTGCCCAAAAGTTGCCCAATTTTCATGTTTTGACATTTTAGAAATGCTGCTACCTCAAATATTTAATTGTATGCAGAATCCCATAAAATCTTTTAAAGTAACACCACAAATTCTATTGGTATTTACAAAACTGTATTTATCTCCTTCAATATTTCAAGTAAAATATTGGAAATCTATTAAGCTTTTAAAAACATTATATGTATATATAGTCATACAAAACTGCTGTCTTTTTATACTTCACATTAGGGATTTATACCTTTTAAAATTTTAAATATCTAATTTGTTTTCTTTGAGTTTTCTTTCTCTCTTAAGCAGGAAACACAAAGGAACAGGGTCAGAGCAGTCCACACCATGAAGGCATCTGATTTATATTCATTAAGAGTTATGTTTTACTTTTAGTATCATTTCATTTTTCCATTTCTCTCCTGTACTGTATCAAATACCTATATGTTTGCACACCCCAAAACCTAATGGAACTGAGCTTGTTTGTGGGGTGGGGGGTGGGCTGCGTTAAAGGGAGAGTTTCTTTTATGTTTAAAGCTATATTTATGATACACAGTTTCTTAATTTTTGTTTTATTATGAACTTTGATGCTGTTCTTAGGTTCTCTTGTTTGTGTTTATATCATGAGTAAATGAAGTATTATGCATATTAGATGAACTACTTGTACATTTCTTGAAGTTGTTTTCTTGTAGAATTTTACACTATCAAGTACTTGAGTCTATAATTATGGGAGAATCCCAAGAATAGGTCTTTGGATACATCCTCAGATCTCAATCTCATTACTCTGTACTCCTTGACCAAAATGATTAGTAATTTCTAGTTTCACAAACTAAAAGATATATTGCAAGATATAATATGGTGAATTTTTTGTAAATAGCTATTTGAAGATGAATGCTAACTTGTTTTATATTAGTTCATTCATTTCACTTTACGAATCCATTTCATACTTGTTATCAGATCCCTCTCTGGGCGCATTGTTGGAGGTGTGTGGTGGTTCTTTACCCTGATCATAATCTCCTCCTACACGGCTAACTTAGCTGCCTTCCTGACCGTAGAGAGGATGGTGTCTCCCATCGAAAGTGCTGAGGATCTGTCTAAGCAAACAGAAATTGCTTATGGAACATTAGACTCTGGCTCCACTAAAGAGTTTTTCAGGGTAAGTGATTCTGGTTTTTAGTCTCTGTGTTGTTGTTTTGTTTTTTGTTTTTTACTAAATTTAACACCTATAAATTATCCCCCCACTTTTCCCCATGGTCCATGAGAAAGTACCGTGTGGAAAGAACCAGCTGTCTCTAACTGTCTCCGCTTCAGCTCTTGGTCTGTCTCTATCTCAGACTTTCCTCATATTCAACTATAGCTATGCTTCCACATTTTTTTTAATTGTTGGTTCCTCAGAAGAAATAATGTTGCTACGCAATCTTAATTTTATAAAAATTGATAGACCTTCCTTGGGAACAAAATTGAAGCAAAATACAGTGCAGGGTATTACTGTTTTCTAGGGAAAGTGTGCTGCAGCTTTCTCTCATGTTGTATAAGTATGGCGACATCTATAATGTATATTTTGTCATGAAGAGAATCATGCTTGTATCCAGTACGTTATTTCAGAATTAAGAATCAGATTAGATTTTCGGCCATAAATTCTGAATTTTCTGTGAAAATCTTTTATGGAAAAGTATTCAACTTTGTAACATTTACAGTAAGTAACACAACTAAAATGAGTCTATTAGATGTAGGTTAACTTTTCTCTTTTAATCTACCATAAGATAAGGTTTGATGCTAGAATAAGTTTCTTTCATGTTTTCATTATATTTGCAAAAGAACTCATTATATTAATATATTTTCACACAGCCAATATTTTTAAGTAAGCCAACAAATATGACATAATATGGTTTGATAGCTAAAAAATATCTTTTCACACATCTCAGTGTGTTTGTGAGGTGACTGCCAATTTGCTTCAAGATTAGGACAAAGACTTTCAACATGCCAGGTGTCAGTGAGGTAGACTGTAATTTCTATACTCTCATCTTGCATTTCCTGAGGTCTCTTGTCCTGATATTTTCAGCTGGGACCAAGTTATGATGGGAAGAAGTGTGCTTGGGAGCAGAACTGTAGCTACTGTAAACAATAACCTGGATATGTGAAAAAGGAAAGGCAGTGATTTTATTAGCACCTCAATGATAGTATGAAATAAGTTCTAGCAGAAACATCTGCTTTATTACAGATCTAAATCCGAAAGTTGTGGCACTGATTGCTATTTACTACAATTTAGCCTCACCTCTAAACATATAGATGAGAATGGATCCTTTGATATAGCGGTTCTCTGGCTTGACTATAATAATACTTTTAATGCATTAAGCAGAAGACTGCACACTTACTAGTTAAAAATAAAGGTTTAAGAATTATAGTCCTTATTCAAGTATGTCTCGTTTTACTTATTTAGAAACAGGTGATTGGGTCACTGCTGGAACTGCTTTGGGAAAGATTAAGAGTGTTGTTATAGGACTCTTGTTAGGGTCCAGTGGTTATCATGATTATAGAGTTATAAAATGAGGGCTCCCATGCATTTGGTCTCTTCTTCAAATGGGCATTTCTGTCTTTTCTTTTCTACCATGTTATGATACAGCTAAGGAGGTACTCACTATAAACAGGCCAGATGTTGCTGCTCATTCTTGGATTTTTAACCTCCAGAACTCTGACCAAATAAGCCTTTAAAAATAAAATTTCTATTGCTAGTATATTTTGTTATGGTAACATCTATCTCATGAATATACGTGGGTAATAGGTTTGTTTGCTTTGTATACATTGTTAAATCAATGGCCAGATAATTTGGGGAACTTGATGCCTTCTGGGAGCTAAAAGGGGCGCTTTACTGTTTTATCTTGTACACTCAGGCATTTGGCTTCATTTCTGAGTGTCTGTGTTCTATTCTTGATCATATCCACATTTGATTATATGAAGTTATAGCACCAACTGTAATTGTGTGACTGAAATGTGAGCAGGTCCTTGCAGAATCTCTTATTGCAGCTTTGGAAGGAACTTAAAATAGCCTTGGCTGGATCTTGGTGTATACAGCATTGCAGAAGCTCTTCTTAGCTAGAGAAAGATGCTGTGTGATTGACCATATTTATAGATTACTACTTATTGTGTTCCAGTCAGGAAAGGGAATATAAGATAAATACACCACCAAATAGAAAAGCACTAATGCTTTCATTGAAATACATGACATGTTTGTGATTTGAAATTTATCGTCCTCAAAGGATCATCTCTCCAAGTCCAAGTTAGATTAAATTAAAGACTTGCTAGTCTACGATTAGTTTTTGACACACATGGCACTTGTATTAATATTTAAAAATGGAGTCATATGCTATAATACTAGAAATTATTTCCTTCTGTGTCTGCTCCTGTGGTTTTTCCAGGATACTGTAACTTTTTGGCTGGAACTAAGGTATCTCATTCCTTCTCACATGCTTCAGTATAAGGAAAATCGGTGATGGATCCCCTTTAAGCAAGGAACTCCAATCTACCGAGTATTGTGTGAAATGTACTGAGCAAAACATAGTTAGTTTAGACATCTTAAAGCCAAAATATTTGTTCTGTCAACATTTCCCCATGAATCCTCAGTCTATTGGCTGAGTGCAGTTGAAATTTTACACTGCTGGGAAAGAAAGAGGATTCAAGGGGAATGTTTACTTTTCATCCTGAGCTTATTGTTCACCTTACATCGTGGCTTTTCTCTTCAACCATATTTTAGCTCTAGGGATTTTGAATTTTCAAGTCAGGTATATTCTAGGCAAGCTTACAGTTGGCAAATTGATTGCCATGATGGCCAGTCTACCAGGAAGAGGGAATAGAGGAAGTGGATTGAGATGTGCTCATGAGTTTTGTTCTCTGGCCACCTCATTTTTTTTTCTACCTGATCAAAGACCTGGTGAATTGTTCTAATATGACATGATTTCATTGTGTTGCTAGCTTTTCCTTTTTTTAATTATTTTAAAATTTGGAATTTTATTCATTCTACTAGAGCATCTATTAGTAACCATGACAGATGTCTGTTTTAGCGATAGCAAGATTTGAGTTCAGGTTTGGGGAAAACAATTTGAGAAGTAGAGACACCATCTAAACTAAATAACAGCTAAAAAATGAATAAGACTTAAGAACATTTAAGATGAATGTCCATTTCTGAAATCCAATTTGGATTTCTTACATATGAATCTAATTTTAATTATCAATTTCATAAACTAACTTTGTTAATGTAAAAGTAACATTAAATTTCTAGTTTACAGTGCTCTCTTTTGTACTATGGTGATATTAGCTGTTTCAATCAAAATCTAGAGTACTTTCAGAGTTCACATGCATAATTTAATATTAAATTAGGTTTTGTTAATACTACTTTATTGAAGTTTGTTGAGTCCATAGCAGATTTTGAAGTGTTGCTTAAGCTCTAAATTTTCTAATTTAAAATGTATGTTTCTCCTCAAGGCTTAGCAATAAATCAACATCAATATTTAGTTTCTGTTGCAAGAAAGGGAAAGTAGCATACAATCTTGTAAAAACTGAGATGTATAGGACTAGAATTGGCCTCTATATATCTACAGCTTTCTCTCTGTGGACCTGCTGTGGAGTTGTTAATTGTACTTAATTAGAGTGTCACTGTAGCGTACTATAATTAGGAGGGAATTAGGATTTCAAATATAAACTACTATTTTTAGAGTTTCAATTTTGATAATTTCTCTTCATTAAAATAGGGCAGATCTTAGTTCTATAATTTTGTTTAGGAAATGATTTTTTTTTTATAGAACCTGCCTTTGTTACATTCCCACAGCAAGTTAGAATCTAGAGCAGGCAACAGCTTTTTCTGTGAGCCTACCACAGGTCTATCAGTCCACAAAGGACAATGACTGACTTTGAGAATGGGAGTGGGAGTTTCTTCCTGTATACTCTGGGTCCTTCTCACTGTAATCAAATTGTTTCTTCTAGTTGTCACCTCTGGGAGGATGAGGCACATGGTGTACTCCCTGACCAAGTGGTATGTGTTAGTGCTATTAGTGCCAGAAAAAAATAAAAGAAAGAAAAACATGCCAAATCAATGTCAAAGTAAAGATTCTTCCTCCCTTATGTAAGGAGCCTAAATTACTCTCATTTTCAAATACCAGAATTGTTCTGACCTTAATGCATTAAACTACAGTATTGTTACTCAACATCATAGACATTTTGTAGTTTAGAAACAGGATAAATGATGGCTACATAGTATTGATGCAATTGTTTCTCACTAGAATGAGCTACATTTGAAATTTCCCTGCATTTGTATGTTTGTGTGTGTGTGTGTGTGTGTGTGTGTGTGTGTGTGTGTGTGTGTGTGTGTGTTTCTACGTATCTGTGAGTGTGTTCTTTTCACAATTCAGTAATCATGGTTACCAGTGAGTTACAATAACAGAGATTATCTTTTTTTCCATTGTACACTTTTGGCTTCTTTGTCAAAAATTATATGTTCATAGGTGTGCAGGTTAATGTCAGGGTCTTCAATTCGATTCCATTGGTCCACATGTCGGTTTTTACGCCAATACCAAGCTGTTTTTATTACTGTAGCTCTATAGTAGAGCTTGAAGTCAGGGATTGTGATGCCTCCAGAGGTTGTTTTAGTGTACAGGATTCTTTTGGCTATCCTGGGTTTTTTTGTTTTTCCATATGAAGTTGAGTATTATTCTTTCCAGGTCTGTGGAGAATTCTGTTGGTATTTTGATGAGGATTGCATTGAAACTGTAGATTGCTTTTGATAAAATTGCCATTTTTACTATGTTGGTCCTGCCTATCCATGAGCATGGGAGATCTTTCCATTTTCTGACATCTTCAATTTCTTTTTTCAGGGACTTAAAGATCTTATCATATAGGTCCTTCACTTGCTTGGTTAGTGTTACTCCAAGGTATTTTATGTTACTGTGGCTATTGTAAAGGGTGATGTATCTCTGATTTCCTTCTCAGCTTCTTTGTCCATTGTATATAGGAGGGCTACTGATTTTTTGAGTTGATCTTGTATCCTGCTATGTTGCTGAAGGTTTTTATAAGTTTTATCAGTTCCTGGGTAGAATCTTTGGGGTCACTCAAGTATACTATCATGTCATCTGCAAATAGGGAAA